GATGGATGGATGGATGGATGGATGGATGGATGGATGGATGGATGGATGGATGGATGGATGGATGGATGGATGGATGGATGGATGGATGGTCAGTGGGAAACAGATTCCAAAAGGAGTCTCAAAAAAGTAAAAGATGAACAAAAGCCTACTGTACTACTGACCTTGAGCAGATCAACAGAATCATTATAAGTGGGAGCTACTGGCTGTCTGTATGAAGGTAACTTACAATTATTCAACTGTTTGTCAAAAAAATTTTTTTGCTATGTTTAGCTATAAAAAAGCTTGATTTATTAATTAAGTCATAATAAAATATGTCAAAGGAAAGGTGCTGGCTTGAGTTTTAAATATTGATACACAGCTTGATTATACACAATAGTAGCCATTCAAAATTTCCAAGCTTTCCTCAAAGGGCCTGGCTGGTACCCTACAATTTCTTTTTAAACATCAATATATCTACAAAAATATCCTTTCTGTCATAATTTGTGCACATTAAGATCCAAAGAGAAATGCCATCTCCTGGTCAGACCCTGTAATTCAGTGAAATGGTCTAGTCAGAGTAAAATAATATGCAAGACGGGGTCACTTAATGGGCTGGAACTTGGAGGGCATTTTGCTTGAAGTTGGAGGGAAGTGGACTGCTATTCGGCTGGTGTTTGATTGGGAAGGGTCGTTTTAAATGGCTGTACATGAATAAAATCATGCTTTATTTTCATCCTCCTCTACTTAATGAACAGTATTCACTTTCCCGCCTTGGACAAAACCTGACTCACAGCCAGTATGAATGTATCTGATATTATTCCTCCTCTGTTTGTGAAAAACATTGGCATTAACACTCATTTGTCTGTTGTGAAAATGTGCCCACTGTCTTGCCCCAATGTTCGCTGATCAGGAAAAGTGCCTCAGATAAAGTGGTGCATCACTGTATAGACGTTTAAACTATCCTTAGTTTGAGTGGGTGTAAGGTTCCTCTGTGCATCTGTGGGATCCCTCCAGGTACTGCAGCATCTTCCGAGAAATAACAACAAATATGAAAAAAATCTGAGTTATAAAACTAATTAAAGAGATATGACTATGTTCCAAATTAAATATTAAGGTTTAACAAATGAGAATAAAAATAAAAAGTACCAGAAAACTACACAATATGTAAGAAAATGCCCAGTTTGCATATGCAATATTAAAAAAAAAAATTGTTTTCCACTTTCCCACAAGATTCTGACAATATATATGGCTTTATGCAAGGATAGCAATGCAAATCCCTTATTATGTTTTTAGGGTCTGAATATATTTGATAAGCAATTTTAAAGAGCTTTTTTTTTTTTGTAGGGGAATTTGCAGTCCAGAATTCTATAAACAGGACCTATCCTCAAAGCTATTTTCATTACCCTTCATTACACACGTTATGCTTACCAATCATCAATACTCTCTCACCATGTGCACCATAACAGCTGGATTAGGAATAGTTCTTAGAGCAATAATGAGGGGTGTGTGAACTTGCTTTCCTCAGACAACTGAGTCTACTCTTCTGAGAAATAAAGACAAATTTTAATTAAGCAACTTATTGTGG